CCCCCCGGGGCTCCGGCCGCCCCCCCCCCGTGGGGGGGGGGCGGCTGGAGGCTTTTTTGCCTTGGGCGGCAAAAAAGCCAGAGCCGGCCCTGCACACAGATCTCCCAACCTCCTTCCCATCCAGCTTGTCTCTTGGGCAAAGTACAATCGCCCTCTTTCCCTCTGGTGTGCCTGGCCCAATGTCAACAGTACCAATGCTGTGAACTTCTTCACCACAGTGCCGTCAGCTTAGTAGGATGCCAGCAGCGTAAGCGTCCTCCAAGCTCAGCAGCTATCACTGCTTGCTCTAGCTCACTTGTCATCTCCCTCACAAGAATGCCCTGCTCGTGGCAGCCCAGCATCACAGCACTTCTGCCTCAAGCTCTTTATCTCAGAGCCTTGATGCTGGAACCCACCACCAGCACTTTTCCATGTCTCACTCAGTAAAGCCACGAACAGTGCCGGATTCTTTTTCAAGCAGTCTTCCCCCACCTCACTTTCCATTTGGGATGAAATTTAACATTAGTACCATATTAAGGCACTTGCAAGGTCTAGAGCAGAAGTGTGCCATGCAGAGTTAAGACCATCTCTACTTAGATGAGAGTGTAACTCAGGGCATTTTTTGGTATTGGAAAGTCTTGGTTGGGTTTTTGGCCATGCAACACCAGAACGAGGAGGAGTTGATTCTAAATCCTATTTTATGCACGTTCCCAGCCAGATTTTGGAGGAGAACAGGTGGGCTAAACATAGTAATATTGTGCCATTAAAGCAGGTCAAGGCAGTGTCTGTAGTGTTCAAAGCCCTTTAAAAGGGAGCCTTAAGAAGAAGTAAGGAGTTCATAATGGACCTCTACCTTAAGTGAATTAAAATACAAAGGATTTTAAAATTCTAATTTGCTCCCTGATGTTTTCTTTTTGCACATCAGTCACTGGCAGGGGTGAACCTGAACAGGCCAGCTTTGCATTATAGTCCTTTCCTAATCAGTTTACAGCATAAGCACAACCCTGCTGCTGTGTTCGGGTTCACAGTACTACAAGGATTTAAATCTCAGTTTCCAAGGAACATTTTAGAAAAAGAGATCATTTTTATTCATGGACAATGAAAACTGGGGCCTAAACTAAACTGCCACTTCCCCCTGCCACTGCTCAAACAGTAACATTGTGCTTTTCAGTCCATGTCAGATTTATTTTGCCTAATGTAGAAAAGATTCATGAATCTTGTGGCCATATCCCTAACAAAATGGTACCACAGTATTCTTCAGTGAAACCCAACACACTAACACACTACAGCTTATCACAGCCATACTGCAGTTTCTGGAGAGCCTGCTAGATAACAGGAGTGCCTTGTAAAGAATTTAAACCACAGCTGTTCTTTGCATCCTATGGGGACATGCTATGACTAGCTGTTGGCAGCTGGATAAAGTGTGAACACACCCTGGTGAGGCCCCTATTGGTGAGAAGGAGACTAAGGGCTGCACCTAAGGTGCATAAATGGGGCAGAATAATGCCACTGATCTTTAATGCAGAGTTGCAGCCCAGAAAGGCTGCAGACCCCAAGAGATCCAGGGTTCCCATCTTGAGCCAGAGGGCTGCACCTCTATATTAAAGATGGAGCAGGTTCGAGTCACATTTCACAATTCTGCAGATTTTATTTAGTCTGTAGGCTCCAGTTTTTGGAGCAGTCTGATGGCCAAATCCTGCCCTGCCCTAGGATTTCAATAGAGTTGCAGGAGACACAAGTAAGGAGACACTTTATCCTTTAAAGTAGCCAAATTTGTATTCTCTTTCTAGAGCAGTGACTTATAGGTACCTGCAACCAAGAGGAGAACAGCAACAACTCTGTAGTACTGCCTGGGAGTGCCTAGGCAGAAGGAAACCAGGGAGGCAAGGAACGACAGCAAGATGATAGTGGCTGCCGTCAGGATTAACACCAGAGTAGCCACTTGCCAGTCTAGAAGAGGAAAGGACACAATTGGGGAAGAACCCCTCGTTAATGAAGAAACAGCCTCATACTCTCAGGCTGTGACAATAAAACATACCCACACTAATCCCACCCTGAGGTCTGGATTTTCCCATAATCTTCAAAAATCCTAATGCCCAGCCACTGGTTTCGCAGTACTTATGATCTACCAAGACGGCACACACATTATAGATTAGACAGCATTAACGTTTCAGAAATGCAATTCATGGTGGAGGAGGTTTGGTGATGGTGACGGAAAAAAAGTCACAGAAAGTATCCTTAGCTCAAGACCATTTCTGAGCCTGGAAATCTGGCACCAAGTGAAACTGAAGGAGGTCATTGAATGCTCTGCAGCAAAGCAACAGAAGAAGCCTTTGAGGAAAAGTAGGAGGTAGCTACAGACAAGGAGGGACTAAGAAATTATGAGAAAGTTAGAAAATAGGGACACAACTAGGAACAGGAAGGATTTAAGAAGCTCCTTGATGCTTCATATCTTGGATTTCCAAAAGGAGCAGAAACTACGTTTTATAGCCCATTGTGGGTTCACCATTTTATGATAGCACCAAAATGATCAGTGGAGAGTTAAATGCAATTCTTCTTATGATGCCTGAAAGAGTCACACAAGAATTGTAGTGCCTCTCAAAGAGACCATGGACCAAATTCATGGCTGACACAAGCAGGTACAGCAATTCCAGCTACTTCAAATGAATGGCCCTCTGACCCCAGCCTGTCTCTAGATCTGACCTCTGGGTCTAGCGGTTTCATCCTGAGCACCTGGTCTGAGTCACATTTTATGTAGCTTTAGTAATCAAGAGATGAAGAGTTAAAAACCCTTCAATCTAGTCCATGTGATTTCTCCCCATAAAGGAGCTGTATGAGGATAATTAAAAAAAAAAATCTTGCCTTTTTCAAACTAGTTACAAACCACTGGGGTTAGAGCTTCCCAATTGTACTGTAGAAAGAAAATATAATTTTAGAGACACTGATATCTCAAGGTCAGCCATTAGTATCTCTCTGGTTCCACCATGTCTTGCCTGATAGTCAAGGAAACTAGGGAGTTTGCCTTCTTTTTAAAAATGCTACTAGATCAGGTCTCAAACACACCAGAGCACATCTGGTACTTTTAGGTGAAACATGAATTTAGACTCCCACCCTGGCCCTTCTGTTCACCGCAGTGCTGGCTCTGCTGCAGAGGAAGGGGCTGCAAAAGGGCCCCTAACTCTCTCTGGAGAATGACTTTCTTTGCTTTGTTACGTTGGGTTCTTTGTTGTTAAAGGTGGTGGGTTTTTTTAGCAGTTTAATAGCAAAGTCTATTGTTCAGACAAAAAATATGTATATACACAGAGAATGTAAAATTCATCCATGCCCCCTCAAAGTCTGGCATCAGGGGATGCTGCCCATCTTTCCCTAGCCATGTCCCATCTCCTCCCTCTCCCTTCTCAGAGCAAAGGATAGAACCCAGGACTCCTGACTCCCATCCCCCTTGCTCTAACCACTAGACCTCGCTCCCTTCTCAGAGATGGCGTTCAAGCCAAATGGCCAGATGACAGCAGAGCACTGGGGACTAATGTGTTTTTCTTCTGTTTCCCTGATGAGAAAAGGACTTTGGACCACATTCTTATCTCAGAGGGGGTGATCTTGAGACATCCAGGCGACATGCAGTCACTGTATATCTGTATGGAATCTGGCAGCTCTTGTCGGTTGTCATAAACATAGAGATAAGGGTAGCATAAAATCCCTCCTGGGCAGCTGTACTGAATCGCTTTACCTGTAAGGGGTTAAGAAGCTCAAATAACCTAGCTGGCACCTGACCAGAAGGACCACTGAGGAAAGAAGATACTTTCAAATCTGGGGGGGAGAGGGAGGTTTTGTTTGTGACTCTCTTTGTTGCTCCCTCTCCGGACAGCGAGAGAAACCAAGCAGGGACAACATCTCCTGAATATATACCTGGAATAATCCATTTAAGAATTACAGAAATTGTAAGTAAGGCAAGGAAATGCATTAGGTTATCTTTTGTTTTAGCTTGTGAATTTTCCCTATGCTAAAGAGGTAGTTTCATTCCTGTTTTGTAACTGTGAAGCTGAGCCAGAGGGAAATCCTCTGTGTTTTAAATCTTTTTATTTACCCTGTAAAGTTACCTTCCATCCTGATTTTGCCGGTGTGATTCTTTTACTTTTTCTTTATAAATAAAGTTCTTCTTTTAAGAACCTGATCGATTTTCAGTGTCCTAAAGGGTTTGGTCTGTGCTCACATTGCTAACCAATTGGTTGGTATATTATTCTCAAGCCTCCCCAGAAAAGGGGGTGAAGGGGCTTGGGGGATATTTTGGGGGAATAGGGACTCCAAGTGACCCTTTCCTGAATTTTTGTGCAAATCACTTGGTGGTGGCAGCAATACTGTCCAAGGACAAGGAAAGGAATTTGTGCCTTGGGGAAGTTTTTAACCTAAGCTGGTAGAATATAAGCTTAGGGGGTCTTTCATGCAGGTCCCCACATCTGAACCCAGAACTCCTGACTCCCATCCCCCCTGCTCTAACCACTAGACCCCGCTCCCTCAGAGTTCAGATTGGGGGGGAACCCTGACATGGGTGTATATTGCCATAGATCAATGTATGCAGTTCCCACCAACACTGGTAGGAATTTTGTGCAGATACGAGCCCCGCACCTCAGAACTTACTGCTTGTTTTCTAGCCAGAGGATAATTGGAAGGGATTTCTCTCACAAGGTGGAGCACAGGAATAGGTTTCTTTGCAACTGTTAATATCCTGAATGCATACCTCTCATTTTCAGGTTTGGGACAGTCAGTATCTTGCATGTCTTAATAGTCAGGCAAGCCCTAAATTAGTCAGTTACATTCAGCTTGCCTTGCCAGTTCGCTCCATTTGGGCAGGAGACAAGTTTGGGTGGAGCTGTTCTCACTATAATCCCCCAGCTCCTCTCCTGGTGTCAAGACTGTCTGCATTAGAAGTTTACAAAACCCAGAAGTTATTTGCTTTGCATGTTCTAAACATGTTTTACTGCACCAATTCCACACCACAGGGTGTTACTTTGCAACATCACAGTGATGACATCACTGAGTCTGACTGCAAGGGCTGGTGAATTTACAATCTTGTTTCTGTGCTAGAAACAGGGACCTTACTCAGAAGGAAATGGGATCCTGCAACAAGACAGGTTGAAGCTTGTAGAGCAGCAATTAACGAAAAATAAATAATTTCAAAAATACGTTGGCAGGTACATTCTACCCCTCTCAGAACAGGCCTAACTCAAGGTATGAGGCAGCCAAAAGGAAGACTCCATTAGTCAGACTTTGCTAGAGACCTTCCACCCTCGTAGGACTCAAGCAGGGTTTGCAAGTCATGCAGTGTGGACGTGCAAACCATGCCCGCTATATTCCTAATTAAGAATAGATACCCATCTGTCTTGGATGGTTCAGACACAACAAATCCTGCATTTTGGCAAGGGGTTGGACTAGATGACCCTTGTGGTCCTGTCTAACCCTATGATTCTAAACCAGCCATATTAAGCTCTTTACCCTGAATTTGTTGCGTGTGCAAGGATAGAAGAGAGCTTGCTTCTCCAGGTCCAAGAAACAAACCCAGAATTGCTAGGCACTTTTGAGTCACAACAGGGCATTTCAACACAGCTATGTCTATCTCGAGACCCTGGGGGGCTAATCCACTGCTGCTCTGCACCTTGCGTTAGGTCAGTGGCTCTCAAACTTTTGAACTGGTGACCCCTTTCACATAGCAAGCCTTTGAGTGCGACCCCCCTTATAAATTAAAAATACTTTTAAATATATTTAACACCATTGTAAATGATGGAGGCAAAGCGGGGTTTGGGGTGGAGGTTGACAGCTTGCGACCCCCCATGTAATAACCTCGTGACCCCCTGAGGGGACCTGACCCCCAGTTTGAGAACCCCTGCGTTAGGTACACCAGTGCAGAGTGGGTGTGAAACTAACATTGACTGTAAAATGCTGCCTAATCAGAATGTGGTTTCGCCTTTCACTGGGCGCTGGTGTACCTCACACAAGGTGCAGGGCAGCAGCGAGACAGGGACAATAATCCTGAAAGGAAAAGGATGCAGGTTGATGGCAAAAGCTGCCCAAGGAGAGGTGTGGGGAAAGTAAATCCTGTGCTGGGAGTTCATTCTAAGCCAGGCTGCAGCCTGTGTGAAACAAACAAATGAAGCATCTGGAAATGTTGGGCTTTTCACTCATCTTTTATTGCCACAACAAAGGACTTTCCTGAGCTCCTATTAATCAGCAATTACTAGCAGGGCCATGTCCCAAACTCCATCAGTCCCATGTCAGCATAAGCCAGATGGAGCTGCAAGGACAGAGGAGCCTGGGGGAGGGAAAGGGCTCCTCGCATTACTTGGGGAAGAAACAGCCTGGTTTTGGGGAACTGTACTGCAAAAGCAGGGGGAGGGAAAGAGCCCAATGGCTGATTGTTTACATAAGCAGGACTCCGCCATAGCTCCATAAAAGCTTGTCTGGCCCTTTACCCACCTCCTGCCCCCAGGGAATGCCTGCTATTGACCTGCTCTGGTACAGTCCATGGCCCCTCCCTTCCTGCCTGTGGCTCTTCTCCTGGCACTTTCCAAGGGGAAGGGGAGCAGATGGGGGCTCTCCTCCAGCTCAAAATATTGAGCCTCTAAAGCTCACTTTAAAGTTCAGCCCTTGAACAGTTAGGCCAGGTCTACATTAGAACTTTTCCTAGTACAGTAGTGTCAGGTGTGATTTTTTTTTTAATTTTTAATTTTTTAATAGTGTTTCTATATTGGCAAAATAGTGTTTCTATATTGGCAAAAGCCCTAATGTAGATGCAGTTATTCCAGCATGATTCCATTTGCAGGTATAGCTCATTTTGTTTCCCACAACTCTACAATCCTCTTCTGACTCATTGCTGTCCTGATTTTACCCCTCCTTCCCTTGCCCCAGCTCTGCTACTGCACCTCAGTCCAAAAGCACAGCACCCCTTGCTGTTCGAGGCTGACCTGGGACACCCATTAGCATGGAAATGCTAAACACTGTGATTCTGTGATATGGCAGGAGATGGTGATGACCAAATCACTTTTGACCTCTGGCCACCAAAGATATCCAGATAGGCTAATGCCCAGCCAACCCTACTGTCCTGCCACAGGCCCCAAGAACCTGCTTTTCATGAGGATCCTTTTAAAGTGCCTTGCAATAAACTGGCTGCAGGAAGGCAGCACACACTGCAGTCCCGTGAACTGGATGTCCTATGGGACACATGGTTAGTGCTGTGCCCTTGGCAACTGACTAAATGAACTCTTGGTAATGATTCTAACATCCTTTATAAAGCAAGCTGTGGGGCAGGTGAACTACAGTCACCACACAGAGCAGACCTACAAACAAACACCTTCCTTGCTGTACCTACTGAACACATACTCCTTTGACAATTAGAAGCTGGGCAGCCATTCAGGGTCTGTCTTCACTGCAGTTAACCTGGGCTCTTACTTGAGCATTGCCCTGAACCCCTCTCCAGTCCGACTCCACACACATAAACCTTGGGCATAAGTTTGGTGGTGCTTTCAACCCAGGCTAGCTGGCTCATCTGGGGCTAATGCCCAAATGAGGCTTTCATTCAGGCTGGTGACCCACCCTCTCTACAGGGAGGATGCAGGCTGAGCCACTCATGTGTTGATAGACCTCCCGGTTCTCCTCCATGTGCCCAGAAGGACAGACAAGCTCTCCTACAATTCACTCCAGGAATCAGAGCAGCTCAGCTTAATGCAGCACACAGAACCCTGGGACTCGGCCCAGGGCCGCCCAGAGGATTCAGGGGGCCTGGGGTCTTTGGCGGCAGGGGGCCCCCGCCGCCGAATTGCCGCCGAAGACCCGGCACTTCGGCGGCAGGTCCCGGAGCAGAAGGACCCCCCGCCGCCGAACTGCTGCCGAAGACCCGGAGCGGAAGAAGCTCCGGGGGCCCGGGCCCCAGGAGAGTTTTCCGGGGCCCCCGGAGCGAGTGAAGGACCCCGCTCCAGGGGCCCCGAAAAACTCTCGTGAGGGCCCCTGCGGGGCCTGGGGCCTATTGCCCCACTTGCCCCCCCCTCTGGGAGGCCCTGACTCAACCTTGGAAGTCCTAGCAACACCTGAGGAGGGCACCAGTGAGGACACTAATTCTGGCATGGCTTTACAGGTTGGCTGCTCATACCTGAGCTAGGCTAAGCTGGATATTCAGACCCAGGTGCCTATCACTTGAGTTAAGTCTGCAGTGAAGACATATTTATAGAGGTCGAAGCACGAGACCTGTGTCTCATGCCAGAGACAAGTAGGGAATAGGCACAGCTGCAACTTAGTTGGCAGGGTGGGACGAACTCCCCTGCTGCATAGGACCTACTGTGTCTCAGGTAAGGGAATAGCTCAACGGGGTAGCCTCTCAAAGAATCTGACACCCCTAGGCCTCCTTGTGGGATGGCAGTTAAGTCACCCCATGTCAGGACAGGTTCACTGGTCTGGAAGGAGAGCAGCAAGAAAAATAAATCTGAGGGATTCACCACAGACCGAGATGGAGGGAGGCCAGCAGGCCAAAGGGGACTCTGCAAAGTCTGAGCTGCACAGACCATCTGGAAAGAGGGAAACCAGAGGTCCTATGGAATATCACCAGGGAAACCAGTTCTGGGTTTCCAGAGGGGCCTATTGAGCCAGTTCTGCCATGAATATCAGGGAGCCCAAAGAGACTGGTGGAATAGGAGATCCAGGATGGATGCAGCAATTTTGGCTCCATTTAATGAGGCCCAGATGTGAGATGGGATGGGCAGCTGTACAATAAGTGTCATGCGCAAGAAAAACAGTCAGTCCTGTCAGGGATGGAAGAGAGGAGTGCCTTGGAAGACGGCTACACAAACATCTGAAGATGGTTTGTAAGTTTGGCCACCCCTGCAATATTGTATAGAAGAGACTCATTCCCCGAGTGTAAGACCTGCTGGAGGCAGGGGTAGGAGTGGGTTTTAGCTGGAGTGAGAGCTGTGTGAGGGGAGAGGGTTTCAGTCTGAGCACATCTGGGAGTGTAGTAGAGGAGAACTATGGGGGTCACCGCAGGAGTGAAACTGGAGGGAAACAGCTCAGCAATGAAGGAGTGGAATCTGCATGCTGGGGTTTGTAGTTCCATCAATAAAACTTGGGGCGGGGGTGTGACCTGGTGTGCCTGGGGTAGCCCTCACTGAAAATGCCAAGGTCAAGGCAGGATGCAAAAAGGAGAGCAGATTCTCCCAAAACTGGTGGTTAACACTGAAGTTAGACTCACCCCCCAGTCACAAACTGCTCCTGATCCCCCACACTGGTTATCAAGCAGCTAAAAAAAGAAATCACACAGCCCCCTTATTGCATTCCAGTTCTCTGGCTCCCAGTCAGCACCTAGGTCCAATACAGTGAGAAGTTGTTTAAAAACTCTGCTCACTATAAGACATGTTCCCCAAGGGCCAGGCACATTGCCAGGTCAATATTAGGTTGGATCTTACCCAAAATACCACGCTGCAAGCCAGTCCTTTAGTGTCTAAAACTAAAGGTTTATTATAAAGAAAGAACAAGAAGAGAGTTATTAAATGGTAAAGCAATTAAAAACATACAGAGACTTCAAAATCCATATATCAGGTTCTTAGCCGTATTGGTGAGTTTGCTGGCTTGAAAGTCCCTCTGGAACACATCCACAGCTTGGATGGGTCATTCAGTCCTTTTTTCAGAGCTTCATTTATAGAAAAGTTACTCCAAAGGTACGAATCATAGAATCATAGAACTGGAAGGAACCTCAAGAGGTCATCTAGTTCAGTCCCCTGCACTCATGGCAGGACTAAGTATTATCTAGATCATCCCTGACAGGTGTTTGTCTAACCTGCTCTTAAAAATCTCCAATGATGGAGATTCCACAACCTCCCTAGGCAATTTATTCCAGTGCTTAACCACCCTGACAGTTAGGAAGCTTTTTCTAATGTCCAACCTAAACCTCCCTTGCTGCAATTTAAGCCCATTGCTTCTTGTCCTATCCTCAGAGGTTAAGAACAATTTTTCTCCCTCCTCCTTGTAACAACCTTTTACGTACTTGAAAACTGTTATCATGTCCCCTCTCAATCTTCTCTTCTCCAGACTAAACCAACCCAATTTTTTCAATCTTCCCTCATAGGTCATGTTTTCTAGACCTTTAATCATTTTTGTTACTCTTCCCTGGACTTTCTCCAATTTGTCCACATCTTTTCTGAAATGTGGCGCCCAGAACTGGACACAATACTCCAGTTGAGGCCTAATCAGCGCGGAGTAGAGCGGAAGAATTACTTCTCATGTCTTAAAAACAACAAGGAGTCCGGTGGCACCTTAAAGACTAACAGATTTATTTGGGCATAAGCTTTTGTGGGTAAAAAACCTCACTTCTTCGTGAGGTTTTTTACCCACGAAAGCTTATGCCCAAATAAATCTGTTAGTCTTTAAGGTGCCACCAGACTCTTTGTTGTTTTTGTGGATACAGACTAACACGGCTACCCCCTGATACTTTTCTCATGTCTTAGCCCTGGTCTACACTACGAGTTTAGGTTGAATTTAGCAGCGTTAGATCGATTTAACCCTGCACCCATCCACACGATGAAGCCATTTTTGTTGACTTAAAGGGCTCTTAAAATTGATTTCTGTACTCCTCCCCGACGAGGGAATTAGCACTGAAATCGACCCTGCTGGGTCGAATTTGGGGTAGTGTGAACGCAATTCGACGGTATTGGCTTCCGGGAGCTATCCCAGAGTGCTCCATTGTGACAGCTCTGGACAGCACTCTCAACTCAGATGCACTTGCCAGGTAGACAGGAAAAGGCCAGCGAACTTTTGAATTTCATTTCCTGTTTGGCCAGCGTAGCGAGCTGATCAGCACAGGTGACCATGCAGAGCTCATCAGCATAGGTGACCATGGAGTCCCAGAATTGCAAAAGAGCTCCAGCATGGACTGAACGGGAGGTACTGGACTGATCGCTGTATGGGGAGACAAAACCGTGCTATCCGAACTCCGTTCCAAAAGACGACATGCCAGAATATTTGAAAAAATTTCCAAGGGCATGAAGGACAGAGGCTATAACAGGGACCCGCAGCAGTGCCATGTGAAGTTAAGGAGTTCAGGCAAGCCTACCAAAAAACCAAAGAGGCAAACGGCCGTTCCGGGTCAGAGCCCCAGACATGCTGCTTCTATGATGAGCTGCATGCCATTCTACAACTACCCCACCCCTGAGTGTGGACTCCGTCAATGGATTCTCATGCAACAGGGATGTGGATTTTGGGGATGAGGAAGATGAGGAGGAGGTTGAAGAAACCGTTTTCCCCGACAGCCAGGAATTGTTTTTCACCCTGGATAGGGAACCCTCCCAACCCACCCAAGGTGGGCTCCCGGCCTTGAAGGTGGAGAAGGGACCTCTGGTTAGTGTACCTTTGTAAATATAATACATGGTTTAAAAGCAAGCATGTTTAATGATTAATTTGCCCTGAAGACTTGGGATGCATTGGCGGCCAGTACAGCTACTGGAAAAGTCCGTTAACGTGTATGGGGATGGAGCGGAAATCCTCAGGGGACATCTCAGTGAAGCTCTCCTGGATGTACTCCCAGGGTCACCTGGTTGAAATAGGGGAATTTTATTAAGGGGACATTCAGAGGTGGCCGTTCCTGCTGGGCTGTTTGCCTGTGGCTGAACAGAAATCATCCCCGCTGTTAGCCACGCGGTGCAGGGAGGAGTGAAGCAATCATCCCAGAGAATTGAGTGTGTGTGGGGGGGTTAGTTGGGTTTGTGCTGCACGTTAACCCAAAAACCGCAGCCCTTCCTTTTAAATGGCCAACCCATTTTAAATGGCCAACCTGATGGGTGCTTGGTATAGGAAATGAGGGTGCAACTGTTTGAAACCATCCCCACATGTTATGAAGGTTAAAGAAGACAAAAGACTCTGGCTTACCATGTCTGCCTGCAAGCTGAATTCTGTTGCCCGCCGGCCCTGCGTGTGTGATCTCTCACACCAAACTGGCAGGACCTCAATATAAGAGGCAAAATGCGACCTTGTAAAGAAAGCACACATGCTATGTAATGTTAACAGCTTGGTTCACTGTGAAAGAGTCTACCCATTGTTCTCTAAAATGTGTCTTTTTAAATACTACTCTCCCTTTTTTTCCTCCTGCAGCTGCAACTGTTTCAATGCTCCCCATATCATCGCCGTCCCAGAGGCTAGCGAAGATTAGAAGGCGAAAAAAACGCACTCGCGATGAAATGTTCTGAGCTCATGCAGTCCTCCCACACTGAAGGAGCCCAGCAGAATGCCTGGAGGCAGACACTGTCAGAGTGCAGGAAATCACAAAATGAATGTGAGGACAGGTGGTGGGAGCAAGAGGAGAGGTGGCGGGATCAAGATGATCAGTGGCGTCAGCGTGATGAGAAGAGGCAGGAAGCAACGCTTAGGCTACTGGAGAATCAAACTGATATTCTCCGGTGTACTGTTGAGGTGCAGGAAAGGCAGCAGGAGCACAGACCGCCGCTGCAGCCCCTGTGAAACCAACCGCCCTCTTCCCCAAGCTCCATAGCCTCCTCACCCAGACGCCCAAGAACGCGGTGGGAGGGCCTCCAGCCACCCAACCACTCCACCCCAGAGGACTGCCCAAGCAACAGAAAGCTGGCATTCAATAAGTTTTGAAATGCAGTATGGCCTTGTCCTTCCCTCCTCCGCCACCCCACCCAGTGCTTCCCTCCTCCCCCACCACTCCCGGACTACCTTGGCAGTTATCCCCCCATTTGTGTGACGAATTAACAAAGAATCCATGAATCTGAAACAACAATGACTTCATTGCCTCTGCAAGCGGAGATCAAAGGGGGGAGGGGAGGGCGGTTGGCTTACAGGGAAGTAGAGTGAATCAAGGAGAACAAACAGAACTTTCACACCGTAGCCTGGCCAGTGATGAAACTGGTTTTCAAAGCTTCTCTGATGCGCAGCGCGCCCTGCTATGCTCCTCTAACTGCCCTGGTGTCTGGCTGCACGTAATCAGCAGCCAGGCAATTTGCCTCAACCTCCCATCCCGCCATAAACGTCTCCCTCTTACTCTCATAGATATTGTGGAGCACACAGCAAGCAGTAATAACAATGGGAATATTGGTTTCGCAGAAGTCTAACCGAGTCAGTAAACTGTGCCAGCGCACTTTTAAACGTCCAAATGCACATTCTACCACCATTCTGCACTTGCTCAGCCTATAGTTGAACAGCTCCTGACTACTGTCCAGGGTGCCTGTGTACTGCTTCATGAGCCATGCCATTAAGGGGTAGGCTGGGTCCCTGTGACGGGGTTGGGACTCACCCCCTGGCGCCTCCTACTGGTTGTCTCGGGAATTAGCTCTGTCCAGTGGAGCGCCCCCTCCTGGTGGTGTCCCGTCTGTTGTCTCGCCCTCGGTTGGCGTGTGGACCTGCGTCGCTCTCCGGCTTGCGGCATCCTCTTCTGGACCACTGCCCTCCAGCAGTGCCCCTTAGTCCATCCACACCCCCTTCCGGGGGGCGGTTAACAGGAGTCTTTGCACTGGCCTCAGCGGCCTGCCACAACCCCCAAGTCTAGCCCCTCTTACGTCAGGGGGCAGGTTGCAGCCTGACTCGGCCACTGTTCCACGGCCCGGTGCAGCACAAGGGGGAAAGGGGGGTACCCAGGCCCGCCCGCTAGTCTGGGTCCCGACCCAGGGACCCTCTAACGGCAGCCTCTTGGCCCTCCTTCTCTCCCCTTGCCTTCAGCCTTCCCTGGGTCACTTCCCCTCTGACCCCATTGCACCCCCTAGGCCCTTCTACTCAGGGCCGGCAGTCTGGCAGGTATCAGACTAAAGGTCCTCTCTGCTTCCCTGAGCCTGCCCAGCACTGCGCTGTCTTGGGTGCTAGTCTCCTGCTCAGGAGACAGACCATCCTCCCTGAAGGTCTGAGACAGACTGACTCTCCTCTCTCAGAGCAGCCTTTTTATAGGGCTGAGCCTGGCCCTGATTGGCTGTCTCCAATCCGGGCCTTGATTGGCTCCCAATAAGCCCATCTCTTATTGGCTGCCGGGCTGCACAGGCGCACTGGCCTGCTGCAGCCCCCTCTAGCATGGGGGTAGGGCAGACACCCCACCACAGTCCCCAAGGATAACTATAGGCATTTCAACATCCCAACGGTTATTTTCTGGTCTGGAAAGTAAGTCCCTTGCTGCAGCCGTTCACACAGAACAGAGTTCCTAAAGATGCGAGCGTCATGTACCTTTCCCGGCCATCCCATGTTGATGTTGGTGAAACGTCCCTTGTGATCCACCAGTGCTTGCAGCACCATTGAAAAGTACCCCTTTCGGTTTATGTACTGGCTACCTTGGTGGTCCGGTCCCAAGATAGGGATATGCGTTCTGTCTATCACCCCACCACAGTTAGGGAATCCCATTGCAGCAAAGCCATCCACTATGACCTGCACATTTCCCAGAGTCACTACCCTTGATAGCAGCAGCTCAGTGATCGCGTTGCTACTTGGATCACAGCAGCCCCCACAGTAGATTTG